GCGTTGAATGGTAGCTTGGTTGGGACCGGATGTCGTGATGTGTATCATTGTACTATAGGGATATGTGCACGTTGTTTGCCATGTGTGTAGCTTGCTCGTGCGTACGAGCCAAGCATGATTGTGTTTGTGGATGGTTGTGGACTCAACCATCACCGTCATGGACTTGACGGGTAATTGAGACGTGTTTTAGTCGTGTGCGACACGACGGCCAACGTCATGGACTTGACGGACGTGGATGCGCTCCTAGTCATGGACTTGACTAGGGTATATGGCTAAACCCTATGGTGGACTCCATACGGGTGTGATTATGATTGATGTGATATAAATACGTGTTGTTATTACTTGTTTGTTTCTTGTATACCATTGCTTTATCACCGTTCTCGCTGGAAACGGGATGACCGGGTTCAACCCGGGCTACTCACTAAGCAGTTGTGCTTAGCCCTCGTAGTTTATATTTTTCAGATCACGAGGATTACGCCTAGCGCCCCGGACGACGACGACTTGAGAGAAGCAGCATCATGTACGGGATTTGGACTCTAAAATTACGGGACTTGTATTTCCCGCATTTTGTACGGTTAAATTATATCTATTCGGACATGTGGTATTTTGCGATACTAATCGCTTGTTGTATTTTACGCTGCTTACTCTGGTTTGATTAAAAATATTTTTTTGGATTTTGTGATTTTGCTTCCGTGACTTATTATTTTATTTTATATCGTCCATGTGGCACAACTCGTATACTGTATACGGGTTACGGGTGTCACAATCCACATCATGACTAAGGAGCTTTTCATGCAGCTCAATAAAGGAGATCGGTAAATCTCGGGCAAGGACTAACTTGATTGGTTTGTAGTCATCACTAAGACCTCCAAGGATGAGATCAATGAGATCTTCATGATCTAGTGGCTTGCCAAGTAGGGCAAGCTCGTCGGCTTTGGTTTTGAAAAATTGCATGTACTCATCCACCGTGCGAGTGCCTTTTACATAGCGACGCATGGAATCCTTGATGAGTTTGACATGTCCGCGACTCGATCTCCTATAGGTTTGAGAGAGAGTTGTCCACGCAACGCTTGAGGATTCAGCTGAGGCGACAAGAGCTTGACATGGAGTTGAGATGGAGCCGAGAATCGCAGTGAATACAAGACGGTCTTGACAGAACCATGCCTTTATGTCGGATTCGGAGTGACGACATTGTTGGTGGTAATAGTTGTTGTCGGCACTTGTGCCGGATCAAGAAAGCCTTCGAGGCTGTCACTACAAAAAAATCCTCGAATTCCAACGGATTTGTCCGTTGGAAAATTTCCAACGGATTTTCAACGGTTTTCAACGGCATTTCAACGACGATTTCCGTTGAAAATTTCCAACGGGTATCCGTTGGAAACACCCGTTGGAAATTTTTAACGAAATTTTCAACGTATTCAATTGAAAAATTAGGTTGGAAATTTCCAACAGTATTTCCAACGGATATCCGTTGGAAATTTTCAACGGATTAACGTTGGAAAAATCGGTTGCAAATTTTTAACGGAGTTCCAACGGATGTTTGTTAGAAAACAATTCCAACGGATGCCGATTGGAAATTTTTTTGGAAATTTTTTAAAAAAATTCCAACGGAATTCCAACGGATGCCGGTTGGAAATTTTTTTGAAAATTAAAAAAAATCCAACGGAATTCCAACGGACATCGGTTGAAAATTTGGATTTTAATTGAAAAATCAATTGAAATATATATATATATATATATTCGAACTCATATATATGTATGTATAATATATATTTG